CACGTCTCCAGGCGGAGCGAACGGTGTTAACGGCGCGAATGGCGCCGGCGGGCTGAATGGCGCAAACGGCGCCAACGGGCGGGTTGGGGCCAACGGGGCCAACGGGGCCAACGGGGCGACTGGCGCTAACGGTATCATCGGCGCCAACGGTGTTAACGGTGTTAACGGTGCCAACGGCGTCAACGGCGTCAACGGCGTTAACGGTGTTAACGGGGCAAACGGCGTCAACGGGGCGAACGGGGCGAGTGGGGCGGGGGGCGGGGGCGGGGCGGGGCGGCGGAACGGCGCGGCGGCGCCGCCGCCGCCAATCTACCAGGCCCGAGTAATAATAATAATTAATTAATTAATTAATTAATTAATGCCACTCTACCAGGTCCGAGTAACAATAATAATAATAACAATAATAATAATAATAATTTACCAGGTCCGAGTCTTAATAATTAATAATTAATTAATTAATTCATTAATTAATGCCACTCTACCAGGTCCGAGTCGACGGTCGCACCATCTCGCCGCCGGCGGACCAGCGCGCCGCCTCCAGCGCCGCCCGCGCCGCCGCCTCCTCCCGGCCGCCCCAGCACGCTCCTTGCCAGCAGAGCAACGGCAACGGCGGTGCTGCCAACGGGGTTAACGGCGCTGCTGCCAACGGCGCTGCCAACGGCGCTGTGAACGGCAACAGCGGAGGTGTGAACGGCGTTCACGTGGTCGGCGTCAACGGCGTTGTCCCCGCCTTTACGCCGCCGTCGGAGCCAGTCGTCACTCCGGTCTCGCTAGCCGGAGATATGGGGAGATAGGGGGAGATATGGGGAGATGCGGCATGTCGGAGCCAGTCGTCACTCCGGTCTCGCTAGCCGGAGATATGGGGAGATATGGGGAGATAGGGGGAGATAGGGGGAGATATGGGGAGATGCGGCATGTCGGAGCCAGTCGTCACCCCGGCCTCGCTAGCCGGAGATATGGGGAGATAGGGGGAGATATGGGGAGATATGGGGAGATGCGGCATGTCGGAGCCAGTCGTCACTCCGGTCTCGCTAGCCGGAGATATGGGGAGATATGGGGAGATATGGGGAGATAGGGGGAGATATGGGGAGATATGGGGAGATGCGGCATGTCGGAGCCAGTCGTCACTCCGGCCTCTCGCTAGCCGGAGATATGGGGAGATATGGGGAGATAGGGGGAGATATGGGGAGATATGGGGAGATGCGGCATGTCGGAGCCAGTCGTCACTCCGGCCTCGCCCTAGCCGGAGATATGGGGAGATATGGGGAGATATGGGGAGATATGGGGAGATGCGGCATGTCGGAGCCAGTCGTCACTCCGGTCTCGCTAGCCGGAGATATGGGGAGATATGGGGAGATATGGGGAGATATGGGGAGATATGGGGAGATGTGGCATGTCGGATCCAGTCGTCACTCCGGCCTCGCCCTAGCCGCTATGCTGCTATGCCGTGATTGTCGCTCTTATTGACCCTATTCTGCTGAGAATAGGTCGCGCTAGCCGCTATGCTGCTATGCCGTTCTTGTCGCTCTTATTGACCGCATTCGTATCACCGCCTGAATAGGTCGCGCTAGCCGCTATGCTGCTATGCCGTTCTTGTCGCTCTTATTGACCTTATTCGTATCGCCGCCTGAATAGGTCGCGCTAGCCGCGCCCTCCGCCGGCGCCGTGCACGCCGTGCAGGACGCCGCCAGCTTGCTGCTGCATCATCAGCCAGTCATCTCATTGCGTGATCAGGCGCCGTGCACGCCGTGCAGGACGCCGCCAGCTTGCTGCTGCATCATCAGCCAGTCATCTCATTGCGTGATCAGGCGCCGTGCACGCCGTGCAGGACGCCGCCAGCTTGCTGCTGCATCATCAGCCAGTCATCTCATTGCGTGATCAGGCGCCGTGCACGCCGTGCAAGACGCCGCCAGCTTGCTGCTGCATCATCAGCCAGTCATCTCATTGCGTGATCAGGCGCCGTGCACGCCGTGCAGGACGCCGCCAGCTTGCTGCTGCATCATCAGCCAGTCATCTCATTGCGTGATCAGGCGCCGTGCACGCCGTGCAGGACGCCGCCAGCTTGCTTGTGCAGTGCGACGAGGATGGCCCCGCCTCCCGCCACGCTGGTCGCAGGGGTATTCATCCGTGATTCATTGTTAATGACTTTCTTTCAGGATGGCCCCGCCTCCGCCACGCTGGTCGCAGGGGGGTTCATCATTAATGATTAGTTCATTTCTCCTGCAGGACGGCCCCGCCTCCATCACGCTTGTCGGAGTCGGCGGCGGTGGCTGCAACGCGCTGGCGCGGCTGCCTGCATGGGCGCGCGACAGGCACGAGCTGCTCGCGCTGAACAGATCTCCCCATCTCTCCCCACACCTCCCCACACCTCCCCATCTCTCCCCACCCCTCCCCACACCTCCCCATCTCTCCCCATACCTCCCGCAGGCTCGAGCTGCTCGCGCTGAACACGGACGAGCAGGCGCTGCCACATCTCCCCACATCTCCCCACATCTCCCCACATCTCCCCACATCTCCCCACATCTCCCCACATCTCCCCACATCTCTCAGGCGCTCTGGTCGTCCGACATGCCACATCTCCCCACATCTCCCCACATCTCCCCACATCTCCCCATCTCTCAGGCGCTCTGGTCGTCCGACATGCCCAACCGCATCCTGCTGGGCGCCTCGACGCCGCGTGGCCGCTCGATTGAATAGTTATTAATGAATTCACGCTCAATTCACTCATTCAGGCGCCTCGACGCCGCGTGGCCGTTCGATTGAATAGTTATTAATGAATTAACGCTCAATTCACTCATTCAGGCGCCTCGACGCTGCGTGGCCGCGGCGCGGGGGCAAGCCGGCGAGAGGACGTGTCATTGACAGTTGTCGTTAACAGTCCATTAATCATTGATTAGGCGCGGGGGGCAAGCCGGCGAGGGGCGGCGAGGCGGCGGCGGCGTCGATCCGCGAGATCGAGGCGAGATTGCACAAGATTGCACGAGATTGCACGAGGCTGCACGAGGCTGCTCGAGATTGCACGAGATCACACGAGATTGAGATTCCTCGAGGTCGAGGCGTCGCTGCTGTCCCTGGGGGGGGAGGGGTCGCCTCCATCACCTACTTACTCACTGAACCATTGCCTTCACCAGGCGTCGCTGCTCTCCCTGGGCGAGGAGGGCTCTCCCCCCGACCTCGTCTTCATCACGGCGGGGCTCGGCGGAGGCACCGGCTCCGGCGCCGCCCCCGTCGTCGCCGCTACCGCCAAGAGACTCGGTGCCTCTTCCCTTCACACTTGCAGCTGCTTTCCCTTCACACTTGCAGCTGCTTTCCCTTCACACTTGCAGCTGCTTTCCCTTCACACTTGCAGCTGCTTTCCCTTCACACTTGCAGCTGCTTTCCCTTCACACTTGCAGCTGCTTTCCCTTCACACTTGCAGCTGCTTTCCCTTCACACTTGCAGCTACTTTCCCTTCACACTTGCAGCTGCTTTCCCTTCACGCTTGCAGCTGCTTTCCCTTCACACTTGCAGCTGCTTTCCCTTCACACTTGCAGCTGTTTCCCTTCACATAAACGCACGACCCCGGTTTCCCTTCACACTTGCAGCTGCTTTCCCTTCACACTTGCAGCTGCTTTCCCTTCACGCTTGCAGCTGCTCTCCCTTCACACCTGCAGCTGCTTTCCCTTCACACTTGCAGCTGCTTTCCCTTCACACCTGCAGCTGCTTTCCCTTCACACTTGCAGCTGCTTTCCCTTCACACTTGCAGCTGCTTTCCCTTCACACTTGCAGCTGCTTTCCCTTCACACTTGCAGCTGTGTCCCTTCACATAAACGCACGACCCCGGTTTCCCTTCACACTTGCAGCTGTGTCCCTTCACATAAACGCACGACCCCGGTTTCCCTTCACACTTGCAGCTGCTTTCCCTTCACACTTGCAGCTGTGTCCCTTCACATAAACGCACGACCCCGGTTTCCCTTCACACTTGCAGCTGGTCTCCCTTCACACTGTCGCCGTCGCCACCCCCCCCCCCCCCATTAATGAGTCACTGATTCGTTAACTAGTATTTAATCTGGAACAGGCGCGCTCACTATTGCCGTCGTGACTACCCCCTTCGCTTTCGAGGGGGCGGTGCGCGGCGCGGCGGCGGCGGAGGCGATGGCGCAGCTGGCGCCGTCGGCAGACTTGCTGATACACGTCGACAACGACAGGCAATCTCTCCCCCATATCTCGGCTGCATCTCGGCTGCATCTCGGCTGCATCTCGGCTGCATCTCGTCTGCATCTCGTCTGCATCTCGTCTATATCTCGGCTGCATCTCGGCTGGCTCGCCACCATCCTTCCTCCGGGCACGTCGGTGACATAATAAATAACTAATTCCATAACTCATAACCAATTAATAACAGGCTCGCCACCATCCTTCCTCCGGGCACGTCGGTGACATATCACTAATTACATAATTAGTAACCAATTAATAACAGGCTCGCCACCATCCTTCCTCCGGGCACGTCGGTGACGGAGACGCTGTACGCGGCATAGTGAATTCATTCCCCAATAATTAATTAACTATTTCATTAATAGGTGACGGAGACGCTGTACGCGGCCGACGAGGTGCTGCGGCAGGCGATCCTCGGCGTCGCCTCCCTCCTCTCCTGAATGAACGAATCAACGAACGAATTACCCATTAACCAGGCGATCCTCGGCGTCGCCTCCCTCCTCTCCTCCTCGCAGCTAATCAACGAACGGATTACCTATTAACCAGGCGATCCTCGGCGTCGCCTCCCTCCTCTCCTCCTCGCAGCTAATCAACGTCGACTTCGCCGACCTGCGCGCCGTCATCTCCGGCGCCGGCCTCGGCTTGGTCGCCGTCGGGCGCGCCTCAGGCCCCGACCGGGCGTCCGAGGCCGCGCGGGCTGCGATCTCCTCCCCGCTGCTAGACATCGAGCTGCGGCAGGTGCTTTTTGCTATAGTTAGCTGACTAATGAGTCAACGATTGGGAGGGGGGCTGGTGTACGCTGTGCAGGGCCTAATGATTTGATTCATGAATGAGTGACTCGATTCACTAGGTGCGGGGGCTGGTGTACGCCGTGCAGGGCGGGCCGTCGGTGTCGCTGCAAGAGGTTAATTATCTCATAATTAATAGTTAATGATCGAATAATTAGGCGGGCCGTCGGTGTCGCTGCAAGAGGTGCGGAGAGGGCTGGCGATCTGCTGGCGGAGATCGCGACGGTTCGTTAATTCACCGATGGACGAACCAATTAGGTGCGGAGGGTGGGCGATCTGCTGGCGGAGATCGCGACGGTTCGTTAGTTCACCGATGGACGAACCAATTAGGTGCGGAGGGTGGGCGATCTGCTGGCGGAGATCGCGACGGTTCGTTAGTTCACCGATGGACGAACCAACTAGGTGCGGAGGGTGGGCGATCTGCTGGCGGAGATCGCGACGGTTCGTTAATTCACCGATGGACGAACGAATTAGGTGCGGAGGGTGGGCGAGCTGCTGGCGGAGATCGCGACGGTTCGTTAATTCACCGATGGACGAACCAACTAGGTGCGGAGGGTGGGCGATCTGCTGGCGGAGATCGCGACGGTTCGTTAGTTCACCGATGGACGAACCAACTAGGTGCGGAGGGTGGGCGATCTGCTGGCGGAGATCGCGACGGTTCGTTAGTTCACCGATGGACGAACCAACTAGGTGCGGAGGGTGGGCGAGCTGCTGGCGGAGATCGCGACGGTTCGTTAGTTCACCGATGGACGAACCAACTAGGTGCGGAGGGTGGGCGATCTGCTGGCGGAGATCGCGACGGTTCGTTAATTCACCGATGGACGAACGAATTAGGTGCGGAGGGTGGGCGAGCTGCTGGCGGAGATCGCGACGGTTCGTTAATTCACCGATGGACGAACCAACTAGGTGCGGAGGGTGGGCGAGCTGCTGGCGGAGATCGCGACGGTTCGTTAGTTCACCGATGGACGAACCAACTAGGTGCGGAGGGTGGGCGATCTGCTGGCGGAGATCGCGACGGTTCGTTAGTTCACCGATGGACGAACCAACTAGGTGCGGAGGGTGGGCGATTTGCTGGCGGAGATCGCGGATGAGGACGCGCAAGTCATCTTCGGCGCCTCGACGTCAGTCGGCAGCGCTGGCACCGCGAGCTCCTTAATTAAGTGCCTCATTAATGAGTTGAATCAGGCGCCTCGACTCCGGACGGCAGCAAGCTAAACGAGCAGGTCCGAATTGACGCGCCTTATGAATTGAATCAGGCGCCTCGACGTCAGACAGGCAGTTTCGGCACTGATTAGATTCGTTCACTACGCCCCACTAATTAATTGAATCAGGCGCCTCGACGTCGGAGGACAGTTTCGGCGATGAGATCATCGTCACAGTCATCGCCTCCGGGTTTGAGCCGCCGGAGCGGGGAGGAGGAGGAGGAGGAGGAGGAGGAGGCCGGATCGAGGCGGCGCAGCATGCAGCCGGTCGGCTTGTCTCAGTTCCGGCCGCCG